ACTGCCACTACCACTTCCACTTCCACTACCACTACCACTACCACTACCACTACCACTACCACTACCGCTGCTGCTGCTGCTGCTGCTTCTGCCGCTGCTGCTGCTGCTGCTACTACTACTACTACTACGATGACGATTACTAGTGCTGCTCTCTGCCGGAACGACATCTACCGGACATAAAAGCCGCCGAGCTTCCGTTCTCCATGCCTCCGGCGCCTTGGATCGGTCCTTGTGGATGATAGGGACTTGGAACAGCCGCAGCACCTGGCAGGTGCAGGAAGACCACGTTGTGGAGTCTGTCGTGAACCGCAGCGAAGCTGAATTAGGTAGTGAAGGTTTGGTCGCTGCGCTCCTGCCTCAATGAAGCAATGGCAGATGGCTGGCGATAGAAAGTCCTTCCAAGACCCACTTGGCAGAAGGTATCTCGGTCGGGAGGAGCAGCCGGGAATCGGCAGCTTCGCGCCGGGGCCCCATTACACTCAAGCAGCGGAAGCTCGATCGTTGCAGAGAACTCTGCCTTCCCCCTTGCGCTACTTCTCCAAAGCTGATCGCAGGTTTCACTACCTGCAGGATTTTGCAGGGCAGCTGGTCCGCAGGCCAGGCGTGCTCATCAAATTCCGCTAGCCAGTTCACGTTCATCAGTTCAGTGCTGATTTCTGCAGGCTTACTCGAGCAATCGATACTGTCGTGAGTGTGATCGAAACCAGACGGGTTCTTCGGTGCTATGCTGGCTGAGCAGATTGGTCACAGCATCCACAAGAAAGCTGCATTTTTGCTGCAGTGCCGTCCTGGTGATGATGCTCATGGGCTTCCAAGACTGTCTGCAGGGGAAGCAGGCCTGTTTGACTGCTCGGCTTGGCTGGAAAGAGAGGTTCATCCCAAGTGAAGGCATACAGAAACCGCTTTGCAGACAGCACTCTCTCCAAAGACAAGAGTTCGGGCATATTCCGGCACACTGCTTGGTGGCAGGCATCTTTGCCACCTTTTGCACGCATCCTGTTTGTCATACTTTTCGGATGTGCAGCATGGCAGCATTAGTTCACCTGGTGATTACGATGTGCGATGGGTCAGGGATGTCATCCCGGGTCCCGTCCTCCTGAGGTATGCTTGCACAAGTTCGCCGTGCTGGCAGCAGCAGCCTTGGAAATCGGCCGCCGGGCCGCCGGCAGCTAGAAGCAGCTACACGCACCTGTGAAGCTTTCGAGGCATCCTTACCACTTCACCGGCCGCCGCCGCGTTCATTGCGCGCCCGACGCTTCTACACGTGCTTGGACTTAGCTGCCTGGCTCTCGCAACATGTCCAGACAGGCACTCTTGTTTGTCTGGTCGCTTGTCCCATGGTTTTCGCGCCAAAATGCTATCCAGAGTATGGTGTTTGGTGAGACAGTACTGCGTGTATGCCGGGAACTCCAAGGTAATCTGCTTAACACCCACGGCAGGTAAGGCAAGAACCCATGGTGGTATCCAAGGTTGGCTATCGGCTTGCGGGTTTGGGACATGACGTGTTATTCACGCTGTAATAGCAGGACAATCCCGTCAACAGATGGGTGTTTATGCCTTTGCAGTGATTCCATCTTCATCGTGCCAGCACAAGACCGCCAAACAGTGGTACAACACCACGACGACAATGACGACCCTGACGACCATGACGACCATGACGACAGCAACGGCCACCACGACACGACGACCACAACCAGCACCAACGGACCATTACGACGCCAGGAGAACGCGAGGAGACCACCAGGAAACCACCAGGAGACCCCTAGCACCAGGAGACCGCCAGAAGACCACCCTCTCCATGTGCTGGCGGGATTCTGAGACGTGACCAAAATTCTCAACGCCATGTACTGACAAAAGCTCATGCGTTTCGAGGCAAAAATGAGACCTTTTGATGGGAATAAACAACACGCTTTCCGTGGACGCGGCCGTGCCGAACGTTTGTAAATCATGGGACAAGAGCGCAAACTGTGCAGCGCCCCACCGCGGGAGCGTAGAATATTCCGGGCGGGCATCGCGGGCACCTCGGGCACTCTAACGAAATCAATTCACACTGAACGTAACAACCCCAGAATGTGTACACTCATGCACGCATGTCATTGGGTTGCGCACAAGAAAATCGTGAATAACACGGCTGAGTCTATGTCTGATTTGCGGTTTAGAATCAGGTTTACAGCCTAAAGGGCTACGGATACCACCGATTTCCAACGATATGCAATCTTAGCCTCTGGGCAGCTGGGCCACGCAACGGAACCTTTCGCGTGGTTGAAAGTCGTGTATTGTCTTGAAATTTGGCGGTAGTGGCTTGCAGGATCAGTTCAAGAATGTGCAGTAGATGCAAGCCTGACGAAGCGACTAAAGCTATCGTGGTGACAGTAATGCTGTTCATGGTCGGCTGACGATGCCCACCAGACTCAAGCCTCCGACAACGCTTTTGTTGCCATTCTTGTCGATGCTCTGTCGTGACTAGGGCGGTTCTCGCCTTGGACCTGGTGACATTTCTATGCAAGATCAGCAGCAGCGTGTGTAGAAGATCCGGTTTTGGACCTTGCATTTGTTTGTCAGCATCAGCCGGAACAGAGGCAACACAGGAGCTCGTGCCGAATCTGAACTCGATACCCGATCCCATTAATGTCCTAGGGCTGATCCACAACGTTTGGCTCGACATGCCGCAGAGGCCTGCTGTTGACCCTTTTGTAGAGATTCACAGAGCTACTGCTGCGGCACTTGTGTAGGCGTTGACTACTACTTGCATGCTGGCGGTCTGGTGCGCCCTCCTGGCTTACGGCCTCGAGTTAACAACATCCAGACACGCTTCAAGAGTTTCTAGGAAAATCACGAGGTATTTTTACATGAGCACTTGCTGTCCTTGTCAGAAAGCAGTGCGCAGCTGAAGGGCTGGAGATGGCTGGAGTTCCTCCCCGAGGTACTTTCGCGGAGAGTTGCCTCTTCTCGCGTTTCTGCCCTTCGGCTTCGTCGGCCTGTGTCTGGTGCGCCATTGCTGAATACATCGGAAAGCAGTTGGAGAACGTATTGCGGCCTGAAGCGGTGTCACACAATGTAGCGGGAGCAGAGTGAACAGAAAGCCATGCAAGATGCTGCTGCAAGCAGGTTTGACAAGCAACGCGGGAAGATTGAAGTTGAGTCATCTAATGTATACTGGTCTTGCGTGGTCTTGCTGGCAGAAAGAACATTGCCTTGAATTTCGGCGACACACCACGTTTGGATCGACATGAAGCCGTCTGACTCGACATGGCCGTGCGCAATGTATGTCAGCATTTTCAGGTACTGAAGATATCTTCCGGTGTCTTGTTCCCGGCTTAGCGGAAGGGTGTGCCTGCGCTTCAGTCACTCAGGCTAGCTAGTTGCAGGGCAAGGGTTTCTGCAGTTTGTAGAGGGTAAGGAAAACAGCGGGGACAGGCACTTTTGATCGCGATGTTGCTTGCCTGTGCAACATGCCTTAACCATGCAACTCGTAAGCTGTTTTGACATTGTTTCTGAAAATGTCTCTTTACAGTGCCCTCCTTGCAATCGCAAGTGCCGATACCTCTGTTTGATGCCTGCTCTCCATCCCGTAGCCAATCCACCTGTTGTAGTGCTGGGAACTTTGAGACAGCCACCCCAGTCTCTGACAATTGACAATGCTTCGTAGAGACTGCATCGAACTGGCCTGCTGTCTTCTCCACTGCTGAAAGGTCGTGGTCTTGCCTGTTCGGTCTGCTTAGAAACATACTCTGGCCGCTGGCTTAAGGGGCTTGTGGGACATGCACAACACCACCTGCCAGAGCAGCTATTTCAAGCTGATCTGCATCAGGTGCGCGCTCGTACCCATCTTTCTTCTTCGGCGGATTGGATCGCTACTAATGGCACCTCGACTTGTCCGAGCCTGAGATGCCGCCGTCTCATTTGTGATGGGCTTCTCTTTAAAGCCACCGTGTGCCAGGTGCTAGAGTTCGTCCAGGCCTCAGGCTCACACGCGTGATGCTTGCGAGCCCTTGCCTGACTGTCGAGAGCAGACGAGGTCCATCCTCTGCAGCCGCTCCCTCATGGCGTCGTGGCCTTGTCTTCCTTGATGTTTGCCATCGTGTCGCCGTGCGCCCTCCCGCTGTGATCTGATGAACCTGGTGTGGACAGAGAGTGCCGGCTGCAGCTTGTGATGTGCCTCGCACAAGGGTTTGGAAACCTGGCAGAGGGCCTACTTCAGATCTGCGTTTAGGGTTTTGGGTTCAGGGCCTAGGGTTTTGAGGTTTTGGGTTTAGGGCCTGGGGTTTTGGGGCGTAGCGTTTTCAGGGCCTTTCTATAAGATAACAACTCTATATGTATACATACATCTACATCTCTATGTATATATATATATATATCAAGCCAGCTGATGTTATAATTTCAATTCTCATTCTGCATCATCGTAGGACCTAGATTCACACCGACAATGACAAAAAGCACTAAATCCCCAAAGCCGTACGAAATTCTAAAGTAGTTGTGTTGGAAACCTTGCAACCGGAAGTGGGCATGTCGACCGCAACAATCACGGACACACCCGGATCGTAGCGGTTGTCGGTTTCAAGGGGCGGGTGCTGCGGCTCTTGGACCCGACCGCTCAATTGGCAACCTGAGCATGGACGTATTCGACGAGAACATGCACGGATCGCAACTGCTTCGGATTTGGACAGTCAATTAAGGCAGCGATCCTCTGAAGTAGAACTCTAGACATCTGTGAGTTCCTGGTTTTCCTTCCCTGCACCTTTCCATGCTCCAGCGGCCATGGCCGACGTCGCCGCAACATAGCTGGTGACAGCTGGGCAGAACAGACCGCACCAGATGCAGGCGAGATTCTGAGATGGACTGGGGTTGGTTGGCTCAAACTCGATCGAGGCTTCCCTAGCTTAGACTCACACTTTTTGCAATTTCGTGGCTGGTTTGTTACCCCTCTGCTAGAGTCTAAGCTTCGCCCACAAGGACTCAGAGAAGCTGCGCCAGCGAGGCCTTCGGCCGCTGAGGCCCGGCCTCTTTGGAAGTACCTAGGGCCTCTCTCCTTTGGCGACTTGTGGACGGAGGCCGGCTTATCACGAGACACCGCTCACTTCGATCGGCAAGACTGTGCGGGCCAGGGAACCAAGGAACATCAAGGAACAATAGATCTTGGGTTTGTATCGCTGGGCTCCGTGTTGTCAGGTGAATCTGCCCTCGGGCCAGATTCGGCGTGCCATCGTGGAGTATGTCAATGAGGACGGCACAGTGGGGTTCCCGGCACCAGGGAGATCCAGCGAGTCTGAAGCCGCAGTTGAGCTGCACGGAGCGGTTTTCAATAGTGGCTCCTAAGCACCCACTCTTCATCTGCAGACGACGGCTTTGATTCCAACAGGCCATGGCAGTTGACAAGACGCGTAACGTACAGGGTTGGCAGCATACACAGGCGAAAGTCTGGATGCAGGCGACTCTTGACTTAGCACCGGCAGACAAGCTAGAACTGGCAAGAACAGATGTTGTGTCTGCCAGCTTGTTCAACATAGACACCCAGTCGCCGCTCCAGCCGGTGCCTCACAACCTCTTAGTTGTTCTGCAGCATTTTGCGATCAAGCAATCCTGCTGAACTCTCCTTCATCCTGCCTGGCACCATGTGGTCCCGACTTGCTCTGTGTGTCTGCTTGGCCGGCTCTGTTGCCGCTATGTGCCCGGATGATCCGGAGGTGGACTTGTGCGAGGAGGCTGCTGATGAAACAAGTCACAGCATCCGAAACGGAGCTTGGATAGCGCTGTTCTTGCCGTTGGCTTCGACTCGGCCCAGCCTTGCAACAGGCTTGGCCATGGCTTTGGCTGCCGGGTCGGTGGGTGTGGATGCTGTGACCTGCGGCGAGCTGAAGACCTTCTACAAGAACGAGCAGTGCTGCGGCCAGCCCACGCTTGAGCTCTCCGCCCCAGTGCCTGGAACCGCTTCCTGCCCATACTCTTTCGCAAAGCCCGCTTGCTCCAACGCCGAACCTCAGACGCCGCGTGACCTGACGGCCGGCGCGGTCGGCCAAATGACGCCGAAGGCGGCAACCCTGACCGATGATCAGGCGAACTTTCTGCCCCTGGTGAATGTGCACTTCCACTTGGGTGCAGAGCACAAAAGTGAGGCAAGGCCATGAGCCATGACAGTTTCGGCATGCTGCAGCTTTCCAGTCCCCAAACGTAGCTGTAGCTGCTCTCCAAAGCCTAGGCCTACAGCGACGACACGGACTCGATTGCCTACGATGCCGCCTCGTCAGGGCGACGCCTTGCCAGCAACCCTCGGCCTGGCTTCATGTGCAGCAAGAGCTCTTTGAACGCCACGCAGCTGGCCCCGTACAGTTTCAGCTATTGCAACTTCTCCCAACATCAAGCTTTGTTTAGTGTGCCTTGAGTAGTATTGGATAATCTTGGAGTAGTGTCTTCTTCGATGGCCCTTATGGATTGCGCGTAAGGCAAAGGCGACGTGCAGGTCGGAAAGTCCTACGAGATTCACTACGTGCATTCCTCGGCTGGAACGGATAACAACCCTGCAGCTGCTTGGTGGCTTAGGCTTAGTGCGTTCTTTTGTACTACTGGTAGCGATTTTCTTCTTTGATGGTTTGCGCAGATGCAGCTGGCAAAGCCTCCAGGACGCTATCAACGCAGACTTGTTGGCAGATGGCCTAGGAGGTGGGGCGGGGTAGTGGTGGCAGGGGTCCTGCTTTGTGCACGCATCGTCCCGCTTCAGTCTACGGTTCGTCTTCTTGACTGCAGGCGCCGCCAATGGCCGTGGCCTCCTCAACCCCATGGTGGTAGTGCAGGGGCAGATCTTCCAGATCGTCAACGGTGCGGCAGATGTCGATGACATGTTGCATGGTTGGACTGTGGTGGGCCACGACAACTCTGTCATGTACCCCGGGAGCACTACCGGTCAGAGCCACGACAACGAGGTGTGCTCTCCATACTCCATCACTTGGCATGTGGACAAGGATTGTCATCAGGTATCTCCCGAGAGCTTTGACATGCTGTGCAAACAGATGAAGGAGACCTATGGAATGGAAGATGACCTTTACCCGCACGGTTCTCGCATGCTGGTGGATCCCATGTACGTGGTGAAATCTGAGTTCGTCAAGCCATTGGCGTAGATGAGTGATAACTGATAACCATCACTTTTTTAAGTCCCGGTTTCTCCGCAGCAACGATCCCAACGCAGTAGTTGCTGTCGTAATCTCAGAGATTCTGTAGAAGGTCTCTTGCAATTATTGTCGATTGCACACGACTTAGAACCTCGTTCCAGGAAGAGTGCCAACACCTGAGGTGTTGGTGATTCCGCAGTTTAGCTTGAGAATAGTTTCGCATGTGTGAATGGACATAGGGGACTAGCAGTGCACTTGCAGAGCTTTGCTGAGATGCAGCAAGATTGAGCTCTGCTTTTCCTTAGACTTGGGTTGCGGCCTTAGGGTCGTGCCAGTCCGATCGCTGAGTTGCAGTCCCGTCAGAGAGCCATGAAGGAAAGAAGAGAAGAATAGCCAGAGCTGCATCTTAGGGTAGAGAGTGGGTCTTGGAGTGGTTGCGTCCCTGAGGTGGATGTCGCCTTTGCCGGGGCTTCCGTGAACTTGGCTGAGGCTCGCATTGCATGTTGCGTCAGCCCCGTTACTTTTGCCGACGGATGGCACGACCAGGCCCCGAAAGACATGGGAGCGACTGAAGCGACCGTGGCTGCTGACAGCCTCAGGCCCCACGAGTGGCCCATCAGTCTGCGCACTTATTTGAGATACGGCAGGCCGCTCCATGACGAGGAGCTCTCCTTCGAGGATGAAGAAGCCTTCGAAGGCCCTGGCGCACAGCGCGCTAAGGCTGGGCCCAAGCCGGGTTTCAGGCAAATCTGGTTGAGAAAGCCGCCATGCTGTGCCAAAGAGGGTGCCGTCAAGAGGCTGCCGCCCTTTCGCTCACAGGAAGTCGGAAACCTTGTGTTCAAGGTTGGCGACATGGAGGCCCTACAACAAGAGCCCAGATGCTCCACAGCTCACACATCCAGCTCACGTCACCAGCTTGATTGATCTTCCCTTGTGGTGCCAGGCTGCAGCAGAGCTCTATGCCCGGGCACTGAAAGTGCTCGAGCGATGCGAGGACTCATCAAGTGCTACGTCCAGTGTAACTTCCTACAGGTCCTACAGTGTTGTCCTGCTTGATTGCCACTTCATCCCGCCCAGCCTGGTGCAGCTGACAGTCATAGTGCTCGGGTCAGGACGGCGTCGAATGGGTCCTGGCAAATCGAAGCTCGACTGCGATAGCTTCGTAGGGGTGGTCTGCTGGGCGGAAGCGGGCCGAACTGCCCCAAGGGCATGGCTCTTTGCAGCCTGCTCGAGTGTGCCGAGGCTGGCTTTGGGGGGATTGGGCACACGCGCGACTGTGACTTCAAAGCCCATGCATCGTGTCGGTCTCCATGGCTCTGCCACCTCCATGCTCACACTCACCTCACATCCGCCTCGCCTCGTGTGCAAAACACACGTGGGCATGGAAGGACCTCGCCTTCGCCGCCGCTCGCGCCTTTGCGGCCACCCTGCTCGCATTGCCACGGTTTGGCGCTGCCAGCGTCGGCGACCCGCTGTGGCTGAACGATCTCCTGACAGACTCTCGCTTCGAGTTACCTCCCCCATCACCTGCGCCGGTCGCCTTCCACCCGACAATTTTCGGAAGCTGCCCCTTGCCCTTGCCCTTGCCCGTCCAAACGCATGGATCAGTTCCATCTTTCCGTCACTGTCTCGTTTTCATGCTGTTGCAGTTAAGCAAGCCTGCAACAGGTGCACCTGACCGAGTTGACCTGAAATTCTGTGGGACCGACGAGGCACCTGATGCCCGTGTCCTGACTTTGGGTTGCCTGTCTAGACTGCTAAAGAGGTCCTTCACGGAGTTCCGCTCCCTGCAGTGCTCGGAGTTCGGCTGGATCAGCTTTTGCTTCAAGAGCCTCGGACAGCATGCAACAATGCTTCTCACCGCTGAGGTCGCCACATCGAGTTGAGCGCATGTGCGAGACAAGAGATGTTGCACCGTGCTCCAGAGACCATTCTGCAGGGCAGCTTGCATCTCAATCGCTCACGGGCACTGGCGCAGCTTGGACACCAAGCTGAAGCTGCACAGGCCCAGTCCCGTCATCATGACAGTCAGTCATTTATATATATATATACATACATATATATATATACATATATATATATATGTCAGTCATTCACGAAGTTTGAGTGATGTGGAAGACACAGGGCTCAAAACCCGGCCTGCTCCACGCAGTTTTTGTAAGTCGTTGCTCGTGCTTCAGAGCGGAGGTGGAAGGCTGAAGGCGTGTTTGATGCCAGGACCTGTCCATCGTGATCTCGCTGTGGGCTGCCCATGCCGCAGCAGGTTCTCCGCGAATTGGGAAGGACGAAGAGTGCAAGGAACAGCTGGTCAAGGTGCGACTGTGTAACCCATCCCGGGGCCCCAAAGCAGGGGCAGACCAGAGCCTGGTTCCGAGGCATTCTACCTCCGTGCCAAGACGCGAATGTCAAGGTAAAGCATCTGCATTACCCGGCGAAGAGTTCCAAAAATTCAATGTTTCTGTCGAAAATCAGGCAGCGAATCGAGCCTGCTCGCAGTGACCTGGCAGCTGCAGCTGCACTGAGGCAAAGCCTCTTAGCTCTCAGAGTCGAGGTTGTCGGTGCAAACGATAGAGGGGATGATCGATTGCCAGCACTGCGCCCTGCAGAGCAGCAGGCCTGCCGAAGCAACTGCGACACTGCTGCGCCAGGCCAGAAAGAAAGTGAGCCAGTCTTCCTTGCCAGTTATCAGTTAACAGGATCTCCGAAACCAACGTCCAGCTGTGACACGCTGTGACAGTGTCACACACGCAAACAGCAAACGCATACATACATACACACACACACACAGAGAGCTCATTTGTGGCGAAGGTGTGAAGTCACGACCAGTGCATTAAAGCACGCGGGGGCGGCAGCAACATATATTGAAACAAGCATGGAATCAAGCATGATTTAGGATGTTGCTTATCGCAGGGGTATGATTGTGGAATGCCATATACAACTGGTTTCAATAAAAGGTCCATCACCCGGATACAGATTCATCTGAATCAGCATTTAGTGATAGTCCATATGTGCATAGGTGCGTGTGTGTGTGTGCGCATGTGTCTTCGGCTCGGTTCAGGTGGTCGTAACATGCCTCCCGACTGCCTCAACAACGCCGCCCAAGCTGTCAGCAACCGCGACCTCTGTTTGTCTGCCTTTGTGAACTCAACTGGGAAGACGGCTGTGCGGTCACGTTCCGCCGTTTCAGCGGAGAGGTTGTATGCAAGGCTCACGGAAGGGTCCCGGCCTCGGGCAAAAATCAGCACAGCTTAAGCGTCCAGCAGGCAGGCACACAAACTAGCCTCGCCAAGGAGACCGACACCATTTACGCCGGCGACCTCAAATGTTATGTGGAAAGGATTCTCCGGCGTCGACACCATTTACGCCGGCGACCTCAAATGTTATGTGGAAAGGATTCTCCGGCGAGAAAACCTCGTGCCGGAGACTTCCTTCCACATTCGCCTGGTCTTCAATGGCAAAGTCCTCCGGGACGATGCCATCATTTCAGGCCGCCATCCAAAAAAATGCACAGCAGTATGGCCACGCTTGCTCGCAGGCCCTGAACTACTGGACCTACAACTGCCCAAAATGAGGGCCGGGCGTAAGATGAGTTTCACCGAGCACCTTTACCGCTGCCGGCTCGCGGAGTCGAAAGAGCAGCTAAACAGACCGCCATGCAGATAGTGCACAAGTCACCTACTTCGTGTGGGGTGCAACCGAAAGCCTGCACGCATTGTAACTTTGCCGTGACGATTGCAACTATTTCTGCTCAAGTTCTTTTGGCGACTAGCCACTTTGGATCCTTCTGCATGCTCTTCGCTGATTGCGACTCCGGCACCGGCCTGAGTTCTCTCAACATTCCTATCATCACTGAGACGCCTGTTAAGAGAAGTTCAGCAGGCCTCCGACATGCCGTTTCTGATTTGGTTGGACACGAGGCGGTCTCCAGTAACAGCAACATAGATATTCCACACCGCATTTTCACACAGGTATCCTACATGTTGCCCGAAGAGTACGACTGGGCCACGGCAGACTGGCTGGGACCGGAGGCGGGCTCTCCAACAAGGGCAAGTTCACCCGCAGGAGTACAACTACCAAGTCGTATGGCAGGCAGGAACGAGCACGCCAAGCATCCTGACAACATAGTACGCAGGAGCCGAGCGTGCCGCACACCTTCCGCTTCGTGGGCCCGACCCAAGCGGAGGCGGAGGCTGGACACACTCACGAATGCTTCCATACATGCCTTGCAGCAGAACGTCCCAGGCACGTCGGCGGGCAGAAGAATACGAGTACTGGGAGGTTGTTGTCATGCGGCACAGCCCAACATGTCGTGTCGTTCAACGAATGTCAGGAGCAAGAAGCGCGGAACTCCTGCGCCGAAACGGAGGCGAGAACAGATGCACCACACAGCAAGTCGGCAAATTAAGACCCTGGCACATCGGAGAACAAGCACCATCGGAGGACGGCTTTTCAGCACTCCAATCTTCACGATGTTCATACGATGCCACAGCCGAAGGAACTCGTCGAAAACGACTGCGAGTCCACGCTCTCGACAACTCCTCTTCCCGGCTGTGGGCCTCTCAAGGAAGCATTAATCAGAATTTGTTTTTGTGTCCGTGGCTCTGCGAGCGCTTGTCTGTCGTTGTGTGCCTGTGCGCGTGAAGGTGGTATGATGCAAAAGCATGCGTTTCTGCGCAGCAAAAATGCATAGGTGTTGGCGTCGTTTGGTGCTTGGAAAAAGGAAGTACAACAGAAACATGAACCAATGTGGTTTTGATATTTGGCGAACTATGAAAGTACAGGTTCAACATGGCATCCCAGGCCCCCCAATGAACGCAATGTGCCCAAATATGGAAGACCATGGCATCCTATGACCCCCCCGCCCGCCTCCCTGCCCCCTCCCCCACCCCCGGAAAGGAACTCATGTTTCAACCTCGCTCGCTCCGGCACGGGGCGTTGACCGGGCTGTAATGCATTCTATTTGCTTGTCTTGGTGTTAAAGAGGTAGTCTAGTCCAGCATGTGTATATGGGTTTCACATATAGATACAATCATGTCATATTGACTAAGTTCATTCCATCAAATAGCGGGCAACACGTTAGTGCTGTAAGTGGTTCCAAAAGTCTCGCACTGCGTGTTTTGCTGAAGTGGTATTGTTGGTTTGATTGTTGCGCGGTACTTGCACGACTGTTGCTGTTCATGTATGTATACGTTGTATTTTTCGCATTGTTTTTGTAATGTTTGTTCAGTTGTGTCTGTTCATGTGTGTTAGTTGTTTCTTTCGTTCTTGCATCCTGGCCGACGATGAAAGTTAATAGAGCACATTTCACTGTCGCTTTTTGCCCTCATTCCATCTGTCCAAGCGGTCAAATATAAGATTTAGGAGGGCTCAAAATTGCGATCCTGCAGGCTGAGCGCGAACTTGAAGCTGTGCAGAAAGAGAAGGCGCACCGCAGTCAACCCAGATCTAATCAGCCCAAGCCAGGCAGCAAGTCGCGGCCGTATTTTCCAGTGAAGCTTTCTGCACGGCATTGCATGCAGGTGCGAAGCAACAAGAAGCTGGCAAAGGCAAGGACATCGTTCAACCATTGTTGCTGCCAACATAGCTCAGAGCTACCTCCAGCATGCAGCGGGTCACACGTGTCTATTGGCAACATAAGGCATTACTGAGACATTCCTGTGCGGGAATAAGGGGCTGGGATGTCGGACCACGGCGACAGGAGATTGCCAAGTTCGCAGACTCCGCAATGTCAGGCCGAGCCCCCGGAGCCCCGGACCCCCCAACCCCCCGCGCGCCTCGGCCGTCCGCCCGCCTTCATCCCAGGTCTCTCTGAGGCAGAGCTGGCAGCCTTGGGCGCCGGAACCGACTGATCGCAACAAAAAGAGGGTGCGGCTTTTGGAGTGCTTTTTTGTGTTTAAGAGCTGCGGGCTTAGACGGCTAAGAGTCTCGAAACGATCGCCTGGATGAGACTTGAAGCTTAGACGAACATGACCCGCTTTGTGTGAAGGGTCCGGCTCGAAGGATTGGTTCATGGGAGCTTGTCTCCTAATTTGCTTGCATGCTTCAATGCAGCTTTCGTTTCCAGCATCTTGAAATGTCTTGAATGATCTGCGCATCGCGACTTGGGGTGTCATGGGAAAGTCTGAGCGACCGACCTGCGGACTCTCGGATGCACTTCAGTCGCGCTCCAAGCCTCGGAAAGGCCTCGAAATGCGGTTTTCCAGTTTCTAAGGCCTGCAGTGCCTTGAGGAGGCACTGCGCTCTTTGGGCGAAGTTCCTGCGTGGAAGCAACTGCCGAACACGCAGCAGCAACATCAGTGCAGAGGCATCCGGGCAGCCCGGACATTGCTTCCACTTGCTTGTGAGATGTCGTATTTGTGGGCACGTTGCTGGGCTTTGTAGCATGAGCATTTCCAAGGCTGCTGGTGTCTAGCTGTTTGTGTGCCTTTGTTGTAAATACCTGTTGATCTCGTGGTTGCTCGCGTGACTTGCCCTCAGGCTGGAAAGCTTCCGTGGCCTGGCCGCCGCAAGCTGATGGTAATCCTTCTGTTTGAGTTTGCTCTCTTTCCCGAACATAGACATAAAGGCCGCTCCGTTGTCATGATTCATGGCAGTCCTGAGCCAGGTGAGCCATTATTCCGGCAAGGGCACCATTCTTGTACAGGTCGGGCAGAACTCTGGAGACTCTTGGCGGATAGAGAACTCGCTGCCTCTGGCCAGGGTGCGGACGCTGCACTGGTGGAGGAGAAGCTGAAAACAGCGATTGAGGCAGGCTTACACGACGAAATGATCGGCAGCAGGGCCGACTGCAACACTCTTCTATATGAAGGACTTGCTGATAAGAATCAAGAACTCGTAAGTTACGGGCTTCCGAGCTTTCAACAGTTGTAGCAACTGCTGTAGCATGGTACGATGTGTAGATGGTGGTAGCTAAATCCTGCGCTACGACAAGGTACAACGACAGGTGTTATAAGAAAGACTTGGTTGAGCGACAGTGGAAGGACGAAGTCACGCCAAGATTAACTGCCTTAGGCTCCGGGCCTCTTCGTTTGGCTTTCACATAGCTCCGCAGGAACTGACAGCCCTTGGAGGGGGCTTTACGTCGGCTGTAGGTCGACGGAGAGAGAGAGGCAGGAAGAGAGAAGAGCACGGAATGTGGCGACATGGACTTACCGTAGCTGCGTCCCGCGGAAACAAATCCCAAGAGTAGTCCCATCCACCATGAACAAATTCGCAGCTACCCAGACTGCAGGTTGCCTCGCGGCACCCGGGAACGACTGCAATGCTGCAGGCGCGGCAGCACATGCTGGTAAATGCTGTGTTGCTGGTAGCCAGGCAGCAAGCTTCACGGGAACATCCGACGAGGAGCAAAGCAAACCAAGGTACTGAAACACCAGCAGACATGAAGGGAAGTCGCAAGCTTCCAGAACGGCCACGACAGCATTGCACCAACCTCTAGGCAACTATCTGCCCCTGCAGCCCATGCAGCTGTGGCTGTCGATAGCCAGCTGCTTGAGTCCCGCATGTCAGCCGCGATCTCCAAGAACTCGGTTGGACACCCACGAGTTCAATCCTCCGTAAACTTGTCTGTTCAAAAGCAGCACTTCCAAACATACGATGATTGCAGGCTTCCTTGGAGCGGCAGATTCCCACGCCGCAGGCATGGCAGATCTTGTGGATTTCATGGAAACACAAAGGTGTAACAGAAGCGATTGATCATGGTCGGTCCATCTAGCCCAGGTGGGCGATTCCCAGATGCTGCACGCAAGAGAGCCCGTGATGCCTGCTGCGCCATCGATGGAAGGCTGGCACTGTGATGCTGCTAAACTTGCAAGACTAGATCTCTCCCGAAACCAGAAAGACTAGAAAGATGGGTCCACCTGTTTGATGGTCCTTGTCAGACTCTGTGCGGTTCGAGTTCTGCAGGCGAGCCATGGTATCTCTACTTGGATGGAGCTTGCCCAAACAACAGCAGCTTGGCTGCCGTTTCTTGGCCATAGCATGCACGCCTGTCGTGGCAGATCTTCGTGCGCCCCGATTGTTTGCAGGAAACGTCCACGATGTGGCACATTCCGCTGGATGGGGCGTGGCAGTTTTCGAGCATTCGCTGCGCTCCCATTCCTGTTTTACTGCCACACCAAGTTGACACCAGAGAGCCGAGTCCGAGGCCCGCACATGGCAGGAGGGAGGCCTTCCGCCTCTTCGGGCCCGTTGAGGTGCCCGGGTGAGGCGAGGGCTGGTGCGAAGGCTGGCGGAGCAGCGCACCGGAGGTCCACCGCAGCTCGGCTTTCTTCCTGGGCGCAGAGGCCCGGGATCTCATTCCTTACTGCGTCGGAGTCGGCATCTTCTCGAGCAGAGAAAAGGTGTGCTCCAACAACACAGCAGAGCTGACTGCCTTCGGCGAGGCGGTGTCGAAGCGGGCTGGAAGTCTAGTCTCACTTTCTGTCTTCACTCGAAGGCCCTCTTGTGGCTTCGTGACGAAGCACCGGGGCCCAAAGAAAGGCGCTGCGCAGCCGGCTTTAGGATGTGCTGCGGGCAGACACGAAGAGATGCGTCGGCACGAGGATTGCCACATTGCTTGTCTCAGGCCGGCGGTGCTCTGCTACGACTCGCAGTACGCAAAGAAGGCTTCAATCTTGGGCTTTTTTGGCCACAAGACACCTCTAAAGGAGCTTGCAGTTTGGTTTGGTGCAGCATTACAGTATACCAATCACGTCGAATCACCTACTTAACAAGAGCTTGTCTTCGACCCTTGAACCAGGCGATGACAGGCGAAAATCGAGCGCACGCGAATGTGGACCTGGTGGCATCGGTTCAACGTCTCTGGCAGGAGTGATTGCTGCGGACCAGCATGTGTGGCCTTTCGGGTGAGAAGAACTCAAGCTTGCAAGGCCACCAGCTTGTGGTTTCTGCCAGGAGGTGTCTACCAGAAGGCGACTGCAACTAAGTTGGATCAAGGGCCACGCTGGCGACTTTGGCAATGTCGCTAGCTGCAGCGAGATTATTTCATGCAATAGCGCGATTAGAAGAAGTCCGGAAACCTTGGCTGCACAAGCCCAGGAATTGGCTGACAAGCTGGCCAATGAGGGGGCCGAAGGCATCAACGCACAGTTTTGGTTTCTGCCAGCGTTGAGTTAGTTCAGGATCTGTGGCCTTTGTTTCGAGCTTGTTGAACCTTAGTCTGAAGTCCGCAGAGGACGAGTTGGTGCTGCTTCCAAGCGATGGTCCCGACGTGCAGCAGGCAGGATCGTGGAACTGCGGTGCCTTGTCAGCTCGGTTTCCCGTGTCCGTGAGGAGCCTGCTGGACGGGAGGGCCAGAAGCCAAGCGTGCAAGCTGCTCAACTGAAAGAAGGCTTGAAGGCATGCCGCATGCGCACGAGCCCTAGAGACTAGTGACTAGTGGGCTCTTCGAAGAGCCCCCTTAATATGTCGTCCGGTCATGTCCGGTCCTGCAATATGACCTGATGTGATCTCTGCAGGATGCGGGGCTTCTGCAGACCTCTCTCATGCCGTCGCCGTCGGCTCCCGTATGGCTTCCACGAGCCAAGCGACAGGACGCTGAGCGTAAGACCTGACCTGACCGATGCCTGCACAGACTGTTACAGAGGTTCATCCATGTTCAGCAGTATGCCCAGGAAGCGACTCAGATCAGCCTGGAGCCTGCGGAGGGCTCAGCGGAGCCGGAGCCGGACTGCTCCTCTTCGGCCCGAAGCCGCTGAGTTGCATGGAAGAGGCGAAGGGTGCGTGCCACCTCGGCAGTCGTCTTAAGGCCACCAAGCACATTCCTTAAAGTTTTTTTGACAGCTCTTTTTCTCTGCAGTGAAAGAGGTTTGGGGTACGTTTCGTGCTGGGTCGTGACGACGAAAGCCGAGAAGGAGCCATTGAGGTGGACAATGCCTGTCACCAGCAAGACTACCGGAGAACATGGCGGGATGGCTGGTGTGGTCATGCGAAAACCTCTCTGCCTTGGGATTTTCGTCCCAAATGCACAAGTTGCACAAGACACAACACCTACGAACACGGGTTTCAACACAAACGGATGGAGGCCGACTGTGGCTTCGGGTGGGGAGGTCCGCCCACGAAAAAGTTGTTGATGCCGGAGGCCGCGGCGAAGAATACTCGTCCTCAAAGTTCATTGCAGCAAAACCAGGCAGAAGTCTACTTCCGAGTCTGACTCGTGGATTCGTCAAGAAGTAGCTGGAGGATTACAAAGAAGAAATGGCCAAAGTTCCACTGTTGCCGCAGGGCGCAGACGTACAAGAGCTATGTTGAGAAACTGTCTCAAGTTCTGGTGGAATCTGAGGAAGGGCCAATCTTTGCACCAAGTGTCCCGGCATCCGTTTCTGGTCCGAGCGAAGGCGGTTAGCAATTTTTCAATCGTACCACCCTGTGAACTTACATAGAGTGCTGCGGCTGTGTTGCAAAGCATGTATAAGCACGTGACGTTGTCCAGGAGGACAGTGGGCCATTGAAAAGTGCTCTAAGGTCAGCTGCGATCCGAAAGCAGCCGCTCAGGTGCCGAACTTCGGAATGTGATACTGTCGGGGTCCTCAGCTCCCACGCACCAGGCCATTGATGCCTTGCAAAACTTTTTGGTCACAGCGGGCCTTTGGCAGGCACGATTTTCTCATTGCTGCAATAAGAATGGCGTGCGTGCCATCAGAGCTGTGGGAGTGCTCTTGCAGCAGACTGTGGCAGGCGTTTGAGTGCTCCAAATTCAATCCTTCCGCGCGGCAAGATGGCAACGCTGAGTCTCATAGCCACAGGCTGAGATGATGAACATCATGGTTCTTTGTTTAGGGTTTGCCTATGGAGTGGGCGTGACGTCGTCGGCACTCACGTTGGTCTTAACTTACGCTGCAATGAAGCAGGAGCAGCGGAGAATCAATAACTTGTCTTGCTCCATGTGTTTGGCTCCAAAATTCTACATGTCGGACAACACGTTTCCAAGATGTTTCAAGCAGAGAACCGATGGCAGAACACGGAAGGCACGCACAATCGACGTACATGTCTGTCGCAGTCAGATCAGACGTCGCATGATGTGGTCCTCGACGACGGCCTGTCTTTGTTCATGAGTCTGAATGGGAGACCAATGTTGTACTGATCCAAACATTGGCAACGTGCCATCATAAGTAAGGCGAGATCCGGCGACCGCAATACAGCGCTTCGTCGCAGCTGAGCACGTCCGGGGGAGTGCTTCGAGATTTGCACGGAGCAGAGTGAAAAAGCCGAATTGTAGAGTACTGAGCGCTGCAGACATCCATGCTGACTCAGTCACGCAAACTCGAGAGTTTTGACCCTGCCTTGCGATCAGCGCAGGTCCAACATTCCAGTTGTGTTGTTGTGGACAGCCAGGAACTCAACTATGCTCATACCTTCTCCAGCTAAGCAGAACCAAGTTTGACGTCTAAAGTCCATGGATAACGTGGGCAAGAGTGTAGTCGCATGTTGCAGCTTTGGTGAGCAGCACAAGTGTTGGAAACCTCACCATGTTCTGGCTGTCAGCAGGATGATGTCCCGTCGTTCACATCGCGACACTTTTGCCAGGTTCATGCGGTGACTTTAGCTGCAGCCGTCGCCGAGCGGGTGCCAGCCTTGGATATGAGCGGAGGGAGACTGTCACAAGGAAGACAATGATACAACCGCTTGAGATGCGATGCCCGCTAGTCTTTGGTTTTGTGACGAGTCGCGGTCAGGTCGTCAGACAGGCAGAGACTTGGGAAGAGACAGGCTGACAGACAGACACAAACCGGGAGACAGGCCGAGCCTCACAGGAATCTGATGTGTTGTTTGAGGTGGCCGTGGGGCGTCTGGTCTGGCACCATGGCTTCGCCTGGCTCTACATCGCGCAGCTATCCTTTCTCTGCACGTGACCCGCTGCAAGAGCAGCGTGCCTGCGTGTGCCAGCTTCAGTAAACGTGCGTGGTGTAGCCTCTGGTACTCGTATGATTGGGCCACATGACGGATGAACAGGCCAAGCCAGAAGCAATTGAATTGCATTTCATGGGACAGCACGAAACAACGGCGGACAACTTTGCGTGAGAAGTGCTGGTGGCAATTCACAGGATAACATTCCTGCGAAGACTCGAGTCCCGGTGTCGCCATGTTGGCCAATGGCTGCCTCGAAGATCCTACAGGTGACACGGCACGGTTCACGGTTGAGCTTTCCTGCCAGTCATAAGACATTTTTTTGCAGATCCTGTTTGGCTTTTCGCGGCTGCAGCCTCCAGCATCAGGCACTTGCCCTGGCACTTGCGGTGATTGTCCACCTGGCAGTGGAGCCTGAGGAGCAATTACGCCACTTGTGCCTGAGCGATCATGGCATCCAGACTGAGACTCGGCGGCTTGAGACGGTGACAAGCTGCAGCCTCGTATTGTCTGGAGGAGCTTCCTGCCCAGGGCGAGTGCCGAGGAGGTCCACTTCCTGCTGGTTGCCGTTCAGGACGCCTGCGAGACTTCGACTGGCAGACGTCCCGTGGCTGTACGAGTGCGATGGTGCGATGAAAAGCGAATCTAACTTGGTCTACATTCTACATCCTGTGCGAGACCAGGGTCAGCTGCCGTGTGTTCGAAGCCTCGCTATGTCTGAAGGTATTTGGGCCTGCTTTGCAGCGAGCTTCCGCGCTCTGTTGCGCACCAGGCGATCCTCCAGGCTATGGATCCAGGGGACGAAGCGGAAGCAGCGTCGTTCTGTTTCTTAAAGAAACTACCACGGATATTTTGCAAAATTCGACTCCGTTATGATTCGGCTCTGCTCTCGAGAGGCCCTGGCTCGCTTCGACGCAGACAATGCTCGGGCTTGCCCTGAGGGTTTTGCTGTCTCAATGTTGGCCCTCTATGCTACAGGACAGGCCTAAGCCGCTGTATCAAACTTTCATAGATTTCCCGCAACTTTACCTGCAAGGAGCGTCCGAATTTGAAGACCAAGTCATTCGATTCAAGCCAGATGGATCATCCCACTTCTTGGTTCTTGCCTGGAAATTTGAGAGAGGACACGCTTATCCAGCTTTGAATTGCAAGAGGGCAATTTACAGCCTGAAAGCCTCAGTTCTACCTGGAAGGACGGGCAGTCCTGGACCATTGGTGCTTTACCCAGCAATTGGCGCGAGAGAACGCCATAGTGCAGTGCGCACGCCCATGCTGTACCCAGTCCTGTCGTTTTCAAATCAGGGGAGACCATTTGAGCCGAGTAAGGTCCACTTCGCTTCCTGCAACCGTCCCGCTAGCACCACCTTGGCCAAGCTGGCATCCTGGCAAGCATCAATCCGGGCTTAGGCGCGTGATGTCGCCTGCATCCACAAGGAACTTTCCTGGACCTCTCCAGCACCTGCAGCAGGCCTGGACAATAAACACGTAAGGCTGTGGCCTTGAGCAGCAGCTGGTCCGGAAAGTGTGACGCTTGAAGGCGCAAGACCTGTCTCAACTCAAGGAGTTGCCTCCATCTCTGCACTGCGATGAGCCACTCAGCTTTGCCTGGGCTCCACCCTTTGCCTTTGACTGAAGTCGACATCCGAGGCAATCTCTGGCATCCATTGGCTGCTCAGAAGAAACCCCACTGCTCCAGGCGCATAGAGACGGAATGCAGCTTTGGAAACGTTAGCTACTCTCCTTCCGTCATGCGGCACTTCGTAGGCCTTGTGCTCGCACTGCGAGACCAATTTGCCATGTACGTGCCGTGCCAGCACAGAGAAGAGCGAGCGAGAGAGGCAGCGAGATGAAGCGAGGGCTGCTCGTGTTTTCTTGTCTGTGCTGAAGAAGAGAGGAGAGTATGACTACTGTAGTGACCAGAGTGGCAGCAGGTTCAGCGCGATAACAGCAAAGCGTTGAGGTACAGCGAAGGCCTTCTGCAGCTCTTGTCGCGGGCTGTGGAGGCCACGTTCACACCAGCAACTGGCATCCTCTGCGAATGTAGGTGCGAATGTCATCAACACTTGCCCAGGCCGTGCCGAAGCAGCCCCGTTCGGCGGAGAGCACAGAGAGGCCCCGGTGTGGGCACGCGCTCTTGGCGGCCTTGCTGGCCTTGATTCCCGTCTGAAGACAAAATTCCGACTCGACCCACGCGATAGCATAACATGCCTTCTAGAATCGTGCCATAGCTCGTTTTTGCACTATGCAATAAGCTTATGTTGTGTTCACGTGCTAAGCAACAGCATGTCGACAGAACTCTTCCTACGGCCTCTGCATACCCTCAGGTAGAGTGGCTCAAATCCCCATGGTTGACTTGGGCATTTCTAGTTGTCTTGGTCGTCGAAGAAGCATCTAGGACTAGGAAGGTTTGAGCAAAGGATATCCGACCGGGTTCGCCGCTCCTCCTGCCACCGAATCCCTGTGATTGTGGGCACCTCTTCGAAAAGCAGCAAGGATCGTGTGAAGAAAAGCACGCCTGGACACTTTCCAATAAAGCGCTACAGTAGTCGTCATCAGGATCTTGGCCAGAACACACTCGATGACCAGAAAATACCAGAAAGCCGGCCTCTGACGATAATCTTGATGATGATGTCGGATGGTGAGGGCGATGGTGATGATGCATGATGATGATGATGTGATGATGATGATGATGGTGGTGATGATGATGATGACAATGATGATGATGATGGTGATGATGATGATGATGATGCCAAGCACCCCCAAGCAAACCCAAATCCCGAACCACGCCACACTTACCACAGACGGGGAAGCACCCCAAGCATTGGGGCTGGGAGGGCGGGGAGGGGGGGCAGATGACCGACAAACACTCTTATTCGGTGTTCCCACCTGTCCAGTGGCATCGCCTGCGTCGCCAAGGAATGGTCGCCGGTCAACAGCTGCGGTTCGCACGGACCCGGAGCTCTACCGAATGGGCACTCCCCCCAAGTTGGTCGCCAGGCTTCAGTGAGCACATGCACAAGAAATGCAGCTGGAGTTGCATCCACCTGCCTTCAGTGTCCATGTTTTGCTCTGCGGGTGGCAAGCTGTCGGTACCTCGGGTCAGGTCATGCACAGCACCTTCAAACGGGTGGCACAGGATCCAGAGAAAATGCTGCTTGGCAGAGAGGCCAGGCAGACCCATGCGGAAGTCATGAGAGAGACGGACATACATCACGAAGTCTTTCCAAAAAATGCGTCGAAACCGAGGTTTGTTTTCAACATTCCCTTGATGGACCTCTCGCCCTTTCCCTTCCACACATCTCCGCTCCGCAGCGCTCGGTCAGACCGGCCCAAAGGCCTCTATCAGGCCTGTGCCTGGGCGGGGGCCTCTCGGGGGGGCCTAAGAAGAAGAGCAAAAGAGTGTTCAAGCCTTGAAGTTCCCTCGCAGAGATTCCCTGGACGTTGGAAGGATGCAATCAAGGCGGTTTCCCAGTCTCTCGAGCGCCGTGGCATAGGCCATGTTATCGTGCCTGGAGGCCAGGGTTGCCAGTTCCTGCTCGCCTCCGCCAGCGGGCCAGCCAGCTAACATGGCCAGAGCACCGATCAGCTCTGCTTAAGACGTGCCTTGCAGATGCCTCGATGATGTCTTCAACGACAGATGGAGTTTGGTCCATCTTTCTGCCAGCCTTGAGCGTGCTGCAAGCGCCGCTTGGCTGCGAAAAACCTTCAGCAGAACATTTCGGTTACGATAGTGGCTTGTATAAGACCCAGGCATCTAAAGGATTGGATTGAAGCCGACCTCAACCGCGAGCTGCTCGGGCACTGGCGGCTGGTCCATGTGTCTCCAGGCGCGAAACTTGATGGTTTTTTATGTCCCAGCCGCACCATTGCCGTTTGCATGTCTCAGCTTCTGCACGGGTGTGTAATGAGGCCTGTGGCAGATCGGCGAGGAGCCGTACCGATTCAGCCCAAGAACTGGTGTTTCTTTCCGCGCCTTCTGCCCAGACTGCGACACCCGGCCGCTTTTCGCTGTACACACTGTATTCCAGCCATAACCAGGTTTCGAAGTTCGGATTGAAACGTTCACTGTCGGAGGTCTATGTGTCATTGTACCTCTACGTACAGGAACCCCGTCTGCAAGCTGGCTCAGGGATTGCGCAGGTTTTCAGAACTGGCCCTTTGGCGGGTTTCTACGACTTGAAGCAGGCAACGCACTGCGAGCCTTGAGTGATGTCCAGGTTGACGGATCCAATATATTTATGGTGCAGACGTTGATGGTGCAATGTGCGTGCTGTGTGCGCGTCGAGTTTCATGAGGAGGAAGTGGGGCAGTCTGTCTTTCCGCTATCCTATTGGAAGCCTTGCAGGCTGGGGCGCTTTGGATGCATGTGGATGCACATGGCACACAAGTCAATCTCTCTTATACGACCCACTCTCTGAAGTACGGGATTCGGACCGTTTTAATTTTTATGTTCGATCCAAGGCTAGCCCGCCTATTTCCTATACAGCGGAAGGCGGGAGCCCTGGCCTCCCCACACAAACTGAGACTGAAAGTTTCCAGCTTTGCGAACGCCCGCGAGGAAGAGCTGCCCTTGGCCGCCGACCCGGCCTGGCTGCGCAGGGCCGCGTCCGGACGCTTACATGACACAACTATCCTTCGGATGTGATCCCGACGATTCGACATGAACTCCCTGCGCCCAGTTCTGTGACCACAATTGCCGGCTGCAAAGCGGAGAGGACGAGGCTTACTGGGAGGGGTGTTCGGATATCACCCAAGACTGCTGGAGCTTCGAGTTGCTACTCGTCTACTCTTGAAAGTTCAACTGAATGATAGACTAACAGTACCGCATCTTCCTGTAGCATGCCATTGGTCACTCTTCGAACCCAATCTGTTACGCGCCTTCTTGTATAGGTGTAGGCCTACAATTGTATCTATGTCGAGCAATCCAGTCTGATGCATTCCTTGATGACATTCGGGTTAACATGAGTTGAAACAAAGCCCTGCGTTGTTGTCGTCGTTGCTGAAAGTGGTCGTCATCGGCCGCAAGCGAAGCGGAGTCATGTCGACATGATCAAGGTCTCAACCATCAGACGCATTGTTCAAGCCTGGACGTGGGACTGTGTTGTGCACCATAGCTTTGAGCATGGTCAGCATTCTCACTGCGCATGGAGCGCTTTTTGGATGTGCAGAACCAAGTTGGGGGGAACCTCTGAGCTTGCGGCTCCAAAAATTTGCTTTCCGAACAAGGGGATGAAACCAGTATTACGACGGTGGATACCTTTCCGATTCCGTGAACGTTTCTGTTGTTTCAGTTCCTTGACACGATTTTCCCAGTAGCTGTCATGCTGTGGTGGCATTGGGTAGGCTCATCGGATTGTTGCCACGAGTTGTGCCGTGGCCATTGGGCGAGGAGCTGCGGCCGATCTGTTGTTGCTGCGATTGCACCTGAAATGCGTGCGGTAGGTTGTGAGCGCGTTTGCGCATGGCTGGAAAGGACCTCTGGGAAGATCTGGACGATGCTGTGATGCCAGCTTTTGACATAGAAGACTCATGGCTTGGCTTCGGACTCCAACCTTTTGAGGTCAGGTACTGGTGCTTGTCTGCGAGCCTGTGTCTGTGCGAGCACCAGTGGGTAGATGCTAGGGAGAAGTCGGAGGTTTTGACGTGATGATAATACATAAGTTTCCGGAAGATCGTAAATGGTACCATGACAATGAACAGTAGCGTCAGTAGCGAGGGAGGAGTGAGGACTACAAGGCTGATGGGTTCCCTCTATGCTCGCTGTTCGTAGGATGACTCGATCGAAGCTGTTTCAAGACGTGCAAGACAATCTGCAGAACAAGGGACAGCACTAACGGGTGTTGCTCTGGCTGTGAATCGAGCTTGTGCCGCGCGCAGCAAAGGATGGCACTCATTCGGATCTTGGCCTCTTTGACCTCATGCGACAGCGAGAGGACAGTGAATCGCCTGGGTTACGTCGGTTCTCAGATAAGGCGCGCGATGGATAGACCGGCGGAAGCCTTCTTGCCTCACCCGCCTCCTGGACAGGTGCTCTTCAAAACATGGATGCTGCAAGAGGCGATGCTCGGCTTCACCACTTGATTATCTCGAGGAGCGTTCAACTTCTCGGCCATGGTCTCTTCTCCGGCGTGGTCTGCTGTGTGCTGCCTGATGCTGTGACATCCGTGTTCGCCAGCTGCATTAGGATTCCAATCGCGGAGATCTTCCACATGTCAAACGAGTCGCCAGATGTGCTACTTCTTCGCGACTAGCATTCCTATGCTCCGCAGTACCCAGACGCTTGCGACAAAGAAGTGGGCTCAATAGTTGGCTGAAATGAGGCTTGCAGCACTGGGGAGTTTGAAGACGCAACGCTTCGTGGCTAAGCCGACTCATCTAGCTGCGACAAGCTACGTGCCGCGCGGGTCTGCACAAAGACCCGCTCACTGAATCTCACTGACACAGCTTCCCGACACCGATCAGCCTGCAAGTCTGGCCAAGGTATGTGATGAAGGATGGCATCAACCTGGTGAATGGCCAAAGTTTGAGCCACGAGGAGATCAACTCTGGCTTGCGAGAGGCATGGAACGAAAGGCCAGCTTCCAATCCAACCACACAATTGTGGCACCAAACCTAAGCAGAGGATACTCGCACAACCACACAGCCTGAAAGGCATGTGGACGACTGGGCGACAGCTGCCCGGCTGGAGATTGGCTCACAACACTTCTCCAAGAATGCACAAAGTTAGTAATGCTGTGTCTACAGCACAGCCAGAGGAATCAACTCGGCCCGGTGTGCTCATTGAGGCTGGGCTTGTTTTTGCTGCGCAGCATGACTGCGGCTGCCTTCCATGGGTGTCGCAGTCTGAAACAAGTGCCGCAGGAGTTGGTTGAGAGCTCGGAGAGACAGGGGCGCACACCAGACGAGTTGCAGCTCTGACTGGATTTGGGATCATGGCAGGGCTGCCAAGCAAAATCCTCCGAGGCACATGGTGGTTTGTATGAAGCTCAGGAAGTGCCAGACATTTTGGGGGAAGCTGTTCTTTTGTGAATGGACCTTCGTCCAGCACCTTGGCTGCGCATGTAGCCTCACCATCACAGAATCCGCGCTGTGTTTTTGGACATGCGTCCTCGCACGGGTCCGTTTTTGTGTCTGTCACGTCTTCCTCCCTTTTCCCTCGCTTCTCTCGCGTAGCATGTCGGTCTGTGTCCTTCTCGCTCTTTTGGGTTCTCTCTCTCTCTCTCTCTGCATCTATTTCAGGCTGGGCTGCGCAACTAAAGACATCACCTCTCCAACACAGTGCACCAGTCGCGTTCTTGCGGGTGGTGCGTGATTTTCAACACCCAGAGTTACTAGCTTTTGGAGTTTGCATGGTTGAAGGCTAATCATCGGCTAATAGGGACTGCGAGAGGCGGCAGAGTGCACGAGTTTGGCATCGCAAGGAACATGTCTTCGGGTGACGAGGGCTCTGCCCGTTTCGATGATGCACACCAGCAGGGTGACCGAGCTCAGCCTGCTTTGGGACACCAGGCTCGGAGAAACAAATCTCTGTCTGTATCTGCATGAAGTGCTCGGTTCCGAGAGACGTCTTCGCTTTCCTGGGAGGCCTGTGGAATTCCAAACTTTGCCTCAAACGGACGCTTAGTCGGCAAGGAGTTCTTTAGGGTTTAGGTCGCTGCAACCCGTTGTCATGGCAATGCCATGCAGGATACATCTTCCGGGACGGCAGCTGTCTTGACTGTGTCGCAGCGCCTCCACTCACGGGCGAGGTCGCAGTGAGAGATCCTAAGCCAGAGAGTGCACAGAGTGGCAGTTTTGGTGTGGTCATCACACCTGACGAGGCTTGGAAGCGAATGGTGTCGACGATTGAAACGATTGCACGGGGCAGCGACCACATCCGCATCGATGTGTTCGTGCCAGGAGGCTAGGCGTTTGCTGTTGGGCTGGACCGGAGTACACAGATGAGTGGGCAAGCAAGGCATGCATCCACGATGCACCTGCAGTCCTCTACGATGCTCCAGAGTCGTGTGCATGTTGTCGTTGACAGGTGGCCGGTTTCTTGTGAACGAAGCCAACATCAGCGGCTGGAATGCATCCGGGGGATATGGTAAGTGGGTGTGGAAGCGAGGTTATGCGGAATACCCAAGACCAAACTGTCACGAGCAGATGATGGGCAAGCAGGGGACGAAAAGCACAGCAGGCATAGATGTTCTGTAAAGGCATCCATGGGCTGCGATTGGTGGAAATAGGCAACTTGATCATGTGCATGGTGAAGTTTGATTGCTTGACGCCCTCTGCACTGGAGCTAGACGATGTATGCTGGTACGGCCGGAGGTAGTAGAATTCAGAGTGAATCTCGTCATTTGCCGGAAAGGCTTCTTGAAGATTTCTCAGTTCCCAGCGGAACTTGTCGAGGAGATGTCCGATCCCAAGGTGGAGTCAGTAGCGAATTAGATACAGATGGCAGCTCGCTAAGCTGAAAGTTAAGGCGAAAGCGCTGGCTCGAAGGATATCTTTTTCGGCGCTCTGAAAAAAGATCCTTGTGTGCTTTCCGAGACGGTGCAGTCATGTGAGATTGCCGTGCGGGGTGTTCAGGACGAACAGGCAGCGTTGTGAAGATCACTGATCACCTGATAATCCAGTTCCCCCAATGTAAAGATCGTCCTGCTGGAGGTACTTTGCCAACACATTGTGCAGCTTTCACCACGGCTTCTGCGAGCCTCGAGCCACGTGGGTGCGCACCTAGCTTCGCCGGTTTCCCATGTCGTCTGCAAGTGTTGTGCTGCCTAGCCACACGCCACCCTAGCCCCACTACAAGTAGCAACGAAGACGCCACCACGAAAGGAGTTGGAACAGGGATGTATCCATGTATGTACTAGATTTACGGTCTTGCTGCAAAACGGTGCATGTGTGCTGCATTGAGGCTTGTGGCCACTCTTGGCTATGCTGAATTGCTTTCCATTGCATCCGGCTCAATCAACACTGTAGAATTCAGGCGCTCACCGACGATCAAGAGCAATCTAATGGAAGCGTGCTCGGGGAGTCTGGTTTTGACAGCGGGTTGCAGTCAGCACAGCATCAGTAAAGCAGTCTTACGTCAGCAAGACAACCACCAACAGAAACTACCAGCCCGTGGGACACATAGAGCTGTCTGCCTGCCGGCGACCACCATTACATATGCCCACTGCTCAGTCCAGCAGGGGTGCAGACTGTTCGCGGATGGTGGCAGAGCACTGACATTGGCGGTGAGTTACTATTATGCAAGGTTGACCTGGGATGCGGCAGCTGCCACAGTGGCTTTGCCAGCACGCCTGCCAAGACTCTTGGCTTCAAAAGAGAATGCAGTGAACTGCGTCCATTCGTTGGCGCAACTTTTGGGACTGCCTCCTGCAGCAAGCTTGTTCTAGCCGAGAGCAACACCTTGTGAAGGAGAGCTTGAACGAGCACAGTCCGTGTGCGGCTTACATAAGTTCATCTCAGCTACCAGTAGTTGTGGTGAAGATTTGCTTGACATGTCAATCCCTGGCTTGATGGCGAGGCTCCAAGCATGCCGCGGCTGCACGGCACCGAGGCTGGTAGCTCATATTGGTCATCGCCCCTGTGCTGGTGCATCCTGAGTCACTGAGTGCCCTCACCGACTGGCGCAGAGCGAGCACGCTTGGCCACTTCTCTATGCCTATGCCTTTTTCTTTACGATACTAGTCTTTGGCATTGGCTCCGTGACCAACAAGGGGCTGGTTCTGTACTGCCGATTGTGTAGCAGAGGTTGCGCTGTGCAGTATGGAGAAACTGCTTCTAAGTATGCGCAGGCGTGGCGCAGTTTCTTGGCTCCGGGTTTCGGTGCCGGAAAGACCCAAGGCTCCTGGTGCTTGTATCCTTGCGCTGAATCACGGTTAGTGGCACGTCGTGGCAGTCCTCCCGAGCTCCTGTATGCTGCCTGCTGTGTATAGATGTAGACTTCCACACCTTGTTTGGGTAGTCTTGTGCAGTGCTTCTTCACACTCGGGCACTTTGTGCGACAAACACTGCTGGCAAACGCAAACATGTTTTGTCAGTATTGTCAACGCATTGCCGTGACAAAGAACAGTGCTACTAGCCACAAAGCGTCTTCAGGTCAAGGTCAACCCCATCAAAGGCCAATGTTGCCAGAAACAGAAGGGTTCCTGTATGAACCTACGGGGGTCTGGGGGCGAGGGCAGAAATTACGACGTTCTCGACAATCTCGACAGGCGTGAAATTCGAATTCGCGCACGTTGCAAAAGGCGGTTTCGCATGAAGGAATCCGACCAGGATTGGAGAGCAAAAGTAACTAGGCAAACGGAAGTCTCCCACACAGCTTTTCGATATTTCTCCCAGCAAACTCGAAGAGCGCCAGCCAAGCGGAAGCCATTGAAGCGTCTTGCGCCAGGCAGAATACAGGACGCCTTCGTGCCAGACTCTCGTGACTACTCCAAGGAAGAGCTCCTGGCAACGGCTGGAGCCTGAAGTCGAGCTTGTCAAAACAAGGTAGACCCTGCAGGAGGAAAGAGTGATGCCATGTTTAATGTCATCTGATCGTGCGATGAAGATCGTGCCGTAGGCTTGCATCCCTGAGCGGGATGCCACAGAGCTAGCAGCATCATAACTCATGCCACAGCCTCCCGAACGCTCGATTCTTTGCCCAGCTCTTCACGCAGCCACGAGATGCAGAAGGCACCGGTTGCGCGGTGTGCAAGATTGTTGAGAGTATTTTCCGGGACATAAATTATGAATTCTCATGGGCTTGTGCAACAGAGTCAACAGAGGAATACATGAGAGCAGAATCAGTCCATCGTGCCTTTGTGTTGATGACAATGAAGCCTTTGATTCTCGTGACGACTTTAGATGGATGACTTCACCAGGTGTCCCGCCACCGCTGGGCTCACTGCCTTTCCCGTGCGGATCTCGGAAGTCCAAGTCGACGCGTCGTCGGACGATCGTTCTTAGGACAAAAAGGCACGTGCTGATCGTGCTTGGCTGCTGCAAATGCTTGTGATGTATGCCTGGCGACGTTAGTCAATGTCAAGTTGTGTGATGTTTGTTTAGGCAGTTTATGCCCTGGGAGTTATAAGTCGCAGGACGAATTACAACCTGGGCGTTCAAGTCAACATTCACATGCTCGTAGTATACAGTTCGCGATGTCGGAATTGGAAGCACCAAGTTCAGGCGCCACCTGCTTTCGACTACGATGCGCGAAGACTTCCGTGTCGCCACTTCCCCAGATAGATGCTACGAGGGACAGTGCCCATGAGTGCATGCCCAAAAATGTTTGATTCCTGTTGATGCTTCATTGTGCGTGAAGAAGGCTTTTCGCAACTTTGTGACGTCAGTCAGTCCCAGGACAGATTGGGTCATGCCGTTCTGCATCAGAGGCACAGAGTAAAGCTGTATGACATGCCAGTGCCAGGCATTATCAGTGGTAGAACATGCAGATACTTCCCGCTCGATTAAATGTAGCTGTCTCTTTGGAACAACAGGAACTGCTTTAATCTTCAATCGCCTTACAGCGCTGAGCATCAGGTTTGCGGAATGTTTGCGGCAACGGTTTTGGCCAGGGTTTGCATGCGGGCAAATCGCGAGGCATCACGGTGGCTTACCAGCCGGCCACTGAGGCACATTCGTGACCCAACTCACCATAGTTCCAATTTGTACGTACTGAGGCACCAGCCGTGCCTGAGGATAGCTGGGCGCGCGGCTGGCGGAGCACCCATGTGTGGACGGGGTGGGAAGCCTAGTGTCTACTGTGTTTACGAAGCTTGGTGTCCAACGACGTCGTTTCCTCGCGCGCTGTGTGAGTTGTGACTCGCGCCAAGATTCCCAACAGCGCAACGTTGCATGCAAAAGCACATTTCGGCGATAGTAGCGACCAATCCATGTAGTCATGCTGCGCACATCTTTACCCTTTGACTGAGGCGGAAGAAGGGGCTTAATGCCCAATATGCAGACGGTGTCCGGAGCCCAAAGACTTTGCCCGCAAGTGATCAGTCATGCCCGGAATTGGCCGCCATACGCAGCCATTAAACCAGACGAGATCGGATGCCCTGCGCGGTTTCAGCTATCTGGCTCCAAAGAAGCCGCCGACGAAAGAATTCGTTCCGGTGAAGACTGCTGAGGTCTGGAACCGGCTCGGGAAGTTCGTTGACCGCAAGTGAGCAGACAAACTGAAGTAGAGGCTGAGCGGCCCTGTTCTTTCCTCAAAGGCTATGTTTGTTTTAATTTACTCGTGCCGAGTTGTGATATTAGGAGACCTCCAAGCCGGGAAGGCACATTGGATGCAGTCAGGGGGGGGGGCAACTTAGCAGCTCATTGTCTTCCATTTTGCTTAGCTTCACCTCCACATCGCAAATGCGAAGTATGGATGGAATAGGTGACGACCCCAGAGCAGCACAAGGCGGCCATGCAGCGTAAGACCGCTACGGCATCATCGATTTTTTCCGGTAATTTGCTGACACCCTGTCCGCTGACAACTTGAGAGAAACTCAGACCCATGGAGTTTGAAAAGTTCCTGCAGTTTGTGCTTATCTGGGGAAGTCCACATTAGTGGTCAGGCCCATACCTGACCTTAATCTTCTCTTTTAAGACGCTGCGCCAAGCTCAATGCTTTGACGCACTGGATAGCGAGTGGCATGGGTCCTCTCGCTGATACTCGCATCTATGGCATGTCCATGGCTGCGACAGCTTCCACTCGGGACATCATCCCGTGCATGGAGCAAAGCTTGCTTGCACCAGACTTGAGACCTTGAGACACATGTCGAATCACGTGTCGAATCATGTCGGGACCCGCAGGTACCAGTTCTTGTTTCCTCATCGATGCGACGCTCCAAGTGTAAAGCAGAGCTGCGACGTTTGAGCACAAGAGCCTGGTGCCTCAGGTGGTTTCTGGCCGTGATCTCGATGGCCTTAGCGGTGAACTGGGAGGCCTTGGTCAGGCCTGCAGTGAAATGCCTCACATCTCAGAGCAGAGTTTCTGTCCTTTGTGCTTCTTCCTTTGGAGCATCTTTGCGAGACACTACCGTGCCTGGCAGCGACAGCACGGCGTCTTTACTCTTACTGGAAGGGAGGCCCGCCGACGGCTTCAATCCAAGCCCACGTTGCCGTAGACACTTTGAGACTTGGATGTGCCCTATCTTGCAAATTAGTTTTAGAGCTGAGGCCTTTATCAAGCGACGCGTTGTTGACATCAAGTCGTACACGAGCCAATGCATAAAGAAAGACGAACTGCAGGTATTGTAGTGGTGGTAGTAGTAGGAGTGGTAGTAGTAGTAGTAGTCGTCGTCGTCGTCGTCGTGGTCGTCGTAGTCGTGGTAGTGGTAGTGTGAGCAGTAGTACAGTCAGTCGTTCCAGTCGTCGTCGTCGTAGCAGCAGTGGCAGCAGCCGTAGCCGTCGCCGTAGCCGCAGCTGGAGCCGTAGCAGTAGCACTCGCGGTAGCAGTAGCTGTCGTGGTCGTAGGCGTAGGGGTAGTGGTAGCGGCAGTGAAGGCGGTGGCAGTTGGTGGCGGTGGTGGTTGTGGTGGTGGTTGTCGTCGTAGTCGTAAGAGGTGAGTGTATGAGGAGGAGCAGGAGGAGGAGGAGGAGGAGCAGCAGCAGGGCGGGTGAAATGCGAACCCGTATCGAGAAGTGACATAGGTGGAAGCCCAGGCAAGAACGGACGAAATCAAGGTGGCACATATCGAAGTAAACATAACGAATCAAAAAGCCGAAATATACATGGCTCTGTAGCCGGAGCACGCAACAAGGGCTGGGGGGAGAGGATGTGCACCCAAAATGTGCGCGGCACTGGTGTGATTGAAATTTCACCAGATTCCGAACCCCTTGGAACAGCGGGATTTCGAGAGAGGACAGAGGAGCCTCTCGGACTTTGGCGACTCTCTGCGATATGGAGGCCAACGAGCGCAATTTCCATCCGATCACACTTTAAAAGACGCACAACGCTGGTGGGAGCGACTCATCAGCTTCGCGAGCGCCTTAGACTGGAACTAATATTGAAGTCTACGTCTCCGATGGACAGCTGGTGCGGGGCTGTGGAAACAGCAAGCTACTAGTCGAAAAGTGTTCTCCCCGAAAGCGCAAGCCTCAGAACCGCCTTGTCTGCATGCCGCTCGCGCCTTGCGCATCCAGTAGCCTGGCACTATCGTCACTAGGGTTACCACAATGCTAGTGGAAAAAATAGTTGAAACCAACAGCAGTGCAGGATGGAAGCTCAGTAGCGACAGCAAGCGTGAGAACAAGTATAGCCGCCACTACCCCGACAAGAACCGGCACCATCCTCCAGACCAACACCACGACCACCTAGTGCCACGCCAGAACACCCTGGTACAGGCTGGGCGCCGCGACGTTGAGCCAGTGTGACAGAATACAGCAGAGCCGTAGCAGTCACGGACTACGACCGTTGATGGGAATGCAAGCCTCCATGCCTTGCAGATGAAGAAAAGGAAACCTGCTACACCTCTGTTACATGAGTTACATGTGCGCCAGATTTACGCTGCATCGGTTCATCCTGGCGAAGGCAAAGTTCCCGACTTTTCAAGCGCAGGCCAGCACAGGCTCGCCAGCCGAAAGGTCCCGTTGCTCCGAGAAAGAGAAAGAAGAGAGACTAAGGCTGGAAACAAGCAGGAATGGATAATTACCGCTGGGATGCTTAGGCTGGTTCGTCTCGAGGATCAAACGAATTACCTCACTTCCTCGGCAGCCCCGCTCACAACATCGGTCACCGCCGATTCCTCCAAAAGCGAAGTTTACGGTCAAAGGCCACCTGCCGGCAATCGCAAGGCAGATGACTTTTGGATGCAGGTGATCTCAAGCAAATGCTTGGGGATGACCACTGCAGGTGCATCTCAAGACAATTTATGCCGAACTCATGTCATTTGACAAAAGTTGTTACGGTGAGCTAGGTCCAAAAGATCTCCAGATCTGCTTTGATTTCAATGCTCGGTCATGGGATGCAGGCAGACTGAGACCTGTGCGATCGCACTTCGTGCGGCGGATGCCAAGTTTGGCAGGTACATGAGGGGATGTGCATTTGGCAAAGACTCAAGACATGCCTTAAACCTCCCATCGTCTCGCCTTTGCTGGAAAAAAGCGGGAATGCCGAGAATGCCAGATCTGCCCTCGTGAAGCCTCCAAGACCCAGAGTGATCAGAGTGGGACCCAGAGTGTACGCAGTCTCGTGTGGTTACAGCCTTCCATATTTCCTGGATTTTCCTGGCATGGTGTTTGCATCCGAGATCGGCTGAATTCCAGCACGAGCACTGAAGATCTGAAGCTCAACCTAGCCCCTTCATCATAAGGCTTAAAGGCACTGAAGACTTCTCCGGACAGGACTGCATTAGAAGGCACACGAATGTCTGTTGACCGGCAACAGCAGCGATCCATCAAGCTGTGATGTGGCTGTCGACGCCACTGCAAGTCCTAGACCGGCTAGGCCAGAAGCTCATTGATCTTTGAAGACCACCATGTCTTTTGCACATTTAGGCGTGCGGGGACTGTTCACATCATCTCCTTGCTACCGCTCCAGGCTTGTTGCGCCTGTTCCCACAATCTCAAATCTCGTGGTCTCGGCAGTGCACTCCGAAGCTGGCAGGTCGTGTTGGGGAAATGGGAAGCGGAGAGCGATCCGACCACTTCTCCCAGAAGGTGCAGCAGCCACACACTTGTACCGTCGCAAGTCTCAACCTGTGGCTTAGTTCAGAGGTGTCGACCCCAGAGGGCGGCACCACTGCGGTCCCAAGCAATACATCGGCAAGACACCGGAGCAGATTGTGGAGCAGTTCAAGGACACCCGGTAGGTCACCTCTTACGCTTCGTCCGCTGAAAATTTGTTGCTGTGGTAGCTGGGTGACATGTACTGTTGCTTCCTTTCAGACTGCTCCTTTACGCTTCTTGAGTTGTTCGGGCCGATAGGACCCTGCGACCTTTCCGTGGTGCATCGCTCAGACGTGGTGAATCTCTTTGCCAGCTCGATGCTAAATTCCCCAGGTGGTGAAGCTCTTTTCGTTGCGGTTTTTATAGATTTTTTCTGGCAGGCTACGATCTGCCCATGTGCACCGTCATATAATACCGAGGTATCAGGTTCCCGAGCCGTTGAGGCAACGCCGCTTTGAGGCCGGTTGGTTCTCGCGTGTTCTCACTGCGCCCTCTGTGAGATGAAGCAGAGGTGCTCTGGCAGATGGCTCACCGCTGCGGCTATCGCTCTGCACTGGAGGTTGCGAGCATGTGCGACCATCTGTGTCTTCGTCAGGCTGAAGAACCTGTGAACAGGCGGTCAAGCTTCTCACCAATCCCGCTCACGATGGGCGTCCGGAGGCCTCCTGGATCGGCAAGCACATCGACTGACTCTTTTCTGTGATAACTTATCACAGAAAAGAGATGACCGTGTATTTCTCTTTGTGTCAAGCTTGTCTTTGTCGAGTTCGCTGATTCTGTTGCATAGCTTTGTCTGTTTTGGTGTTGACTCTGCTTGGCGTTTTCTTCCCGTCAACTGCGTATAACTGCGTCTTTTCTTCCGCTTCTTGCCGCTTGCTTCAGGACCCTCTCACTCAGGCCTCTCAGCACACCTAAGCCCAAAACTCTAAACCCTCGACGCCCAATCCCAAGACCCTTAACCGGAAGCCCTGAGACTTAAACCCGAAATCCCAAAGCCTACATC